CAAGTCACATGAGAAATCGCAATCAACACTCATTTAATATTTCATCATCGAGTTGTTATTGATCGTAATATAAAAGTGACCTTTCTGATCTTTTTCCCTCAACAGATACAAAACATAGAATAGCGATTTGAAAAGAATAATAATCCGTAACACACCTAAAAAAACATTTACTCTTGCAATATCAATCTTTATTTAATGGGCGTGGATTTGATACAAAAAGAGATCCGCAGGGACCGAGGGGCGTGAATGTGTTTGGGGGGGCTAGCGGCGAGGAGGTACTTGGAGGGTTTCGAAAATTTTTGAAATCTTAACTCTCRGAAATGTCCTTTCCAGCATTTTGAGACGTTATCCAAGACACATTTACCACATACACGGTCAGCAATATTATCAATAAAATCCCAAAGACTTCATAAGGAGGCTCTTCGCTTCTTTATCCGCGGTCCCTGATCCACCTAGTCCCTACTCGCAGACGAGTAAGCATGGGGCTGAGTGCGTAAGTGCAAGAGTGTATGTAAAGCTTGAATGAGGACTATGCTGTGAATGGATCAAATCCTCACACTTATACTTTTGTCATTTAGAACGAAATCCCACATGACGAACTTAAAAAATTCATGATTGCATCAAAAAATATGTCAAGTTTATACAAGTATTTGGGAATCAGCCAAGGGATGAGCATGAGGATAAAACAAAAAACTAAACCTCCTCCACCACCAGGTATGGTAGAAGAATCTTTACTAAAATACATATTCCTTGTGTTTATTTTACTTAAGCTTCATTGAATTGCTGACCATTTTTCATCCAATAAGATAGGGTATCGAAAATAAAATTGCATTCAATAATATAATTAAATGATCAATGTTTTGAATTTCTAATAGACCCAAAAGTACATGCACAGAGTATTAGTGAAGATGCTGGCTGTGCTTGTGCACCAASATTGACAAGATCCTTCATACMGAACCCCACATGGTACTTGGGAAGSTTCATTCCAAGCAATTGCTTAGTAACCTTCCAATGTGGTGGTGGATGCGTAGTTCCAGACCGCCAAGAATGTCGAGCTGTTGATTCTGAAGTGARAACAACATACAAGTACTACTACTATATGAAATTTACCCAAAAATTACCTGAGATACGAGCGTTCACCATAGATTACCATAAAAGATGTGATTGTGTGTGCAAAARAAGAAATTGCCCCCCAAAAATGTTCCTCAACCAAGATATTTGTATGTGTACATGTAAACAAGAGTACAGTGCTGAGGTGTTGAAGTGCAAAACACCATTTGAGGTACAGTATTGGATACTATAAATGAATGTAACTCTACTTAGGGAATAGGCCATCTTTTGAAAGGTTGACAAGGAGGTTGAAGGAATTCTTGTGGCTTCTGTAGACAAAATTACAACATTTATCAAAGGCATCACAATTTCAATTATTGGCAATATGATGTTGATTGCCAGACAGTCCCCTCTCACTGCCTTGTGGTGTAAATGACCCGGGGAAGGGGAAACTCTGAGGTAAATGTACTGGGAATGCTCATTGGCAATTTTCAAAAAGATACCTAAAAGATCCTGGAAGTCTTGAAAAAAGGGCGTGGCTGACTGATCAGTAGAATTCCAATGATAAAATGTATAAAATATTTACATGTAAATGACAAAACAAAATGCAGAGGACAATCAATATTGATGCGCTGTTTCTCTTCTTTTCCTACACCATAAGAGATTGCAGAAAATGCCAATTTTGAGAAACTCAAATTGGTACCCTAAAAGATTCCCAATCACGAATTTTTACCCCTAAGAGATCTGATGAGTATCCCCGGGGCTTTTACCCTGGAGGTCCCCCCCTGTCCTGTCCCTCTTTACTACCTTTGCAGTAACACACTATGAATACAAAAAAATATGCTAATTCCTTTCTTTTCTATTTTCTCATCAAAACGATTTGTGATTGGTACTGGTAATATTTATTTCACAGATGTGAATATTCCTAGCATTTAGCTACACTTTATATAACATATATGTCGATCTCACCTCAATTAATGCTGGTACATATTATATTTTATTTTTTTCGGTCCGGTATCCTAGTTATTCGCGCGCTGTGAYTGGCTAGCGCGCGGTCCGGTTTTTCACGATCTGCCCGGTCCGACGGTATCCTGCAGCTAGGCTGCGAGCAAAGTTGAATAAAATACAAATAAAAAAAAATAAAAATGTTACTTACCGGCTATAGGCCGGGCCGTATAGGAAAACACTGCCCTCGGTCTTTTATGTACGGACCTCGCTGCGCTCGTTCCGTACTGTCAAGACCTCGGGCAATGTTTTCATATACGGACCTCCCGGCCGGTAAATAACATATAATACCCGTTCAACTGATAAATAATGTTCCCCTTATCTTGCAGTATGATAGCGAAAAATGTGCATGTGTATGTAAAAAGAAATATTGCCCTCACGGCAAAATATTGGATCGACACACCTGTACGTGTAGATGTCCGCGTGGCTTGGTGGATATAGGACAAGGCAAATGCAGTTTGATCAGTATGTCGAACAATAATGGAAAGTAAAAAACATAAACTCTCAGAATAGTCGAGGAAATTGCCTGTTTTTTATTTACTTATGTACAAATAGTACGAACTTAAATACATTTGTGTATAGTAAAAAGTTTTCCTTTTCCCATATCAAAGAGTTGCCTTCTTTCCGTATATATAACATAGATTTGAAAAAAGAGCTTCGGAGATCCCACATAATGACAATAATTCTTTAATATGAATTGCGTAGAACAAACTACAAAAACGTTGTTAAAACGCTTCAGTTTACCAAGCCCTAAATAAGCACAGATATTTACAGACTAAACAAATATTTAGCGGCGATATTGTGCTAACATGTCCACTGTCATTATTTGTAAAACAAAACTATAACCATACTTGTGCATGGCTTTTAAATCAACCTGACGTGTACACGTCTTAGGGTATTTCAACCTTTTTCATATATTACCTAATAATTATTTTTATCACTCTTATGTATTATATTTTAATAACGCATGATCATACGTATTATGTATTATTTGTAATAGTTATATTTTTTAATAGTTATTGTATATCAGTACGATGTTTGTTATTTTCAATAAAATCTTTTAAGATGATTCACTRGATTTCTTCTTTAGAAAGGCAAATTGGATTGTCTTGATTAAGGTATTTCATAAACTCGACTACTAGTAACTATTGTCACTGATGTTCTTATGAAACTTTGCTCGATCGCAGTCGTTATCAAAACGTGTTGAAGGAGCTTGCTTCCGCAACATGCGTCCGCAACATGCTTCCGGAGCAAATCCCCCTCGCCTGCACCAACGATTTGAGGCGGAAGAAAAAAAAAAGTTCTGCAACAAAACTTTTACTCGCGAAATTTGCTCTCTCGTATCATCATGTCAAATTTCAAGAATTGTCCGTGTCAAGCCTTTTCAAAGTCAAAAGGAAAGCCATTGCAGTGTTTAAAGAATGCTGATGGAAGGTCATATATATCCGTTGCCGGAGTGCGAAGTGCAGGACTTCAAAGATTTAAATGTATGAATGAATATTAGAAGTGCATCTTTTTGCATTTGATATTTGTGTATGGTCCAAATAACGAAGCTAAACCACAGGCAACACAAGATGGCTTTACAATCCTTCTCACTTTGTCTTTTAACTGGGATAATGTGACCGGGCCCATTGCATTAAAAAGATTTGCGCCTTTAACGAAGTAGTGTTCGCAGAACTTGCGCTCTAAGAATTCTTCCAGATAGAAAAGTGCGTCGATAAATCGCTCTCCGATATCGCTGTCCGTCCAATCGTAAGGATCATTTATCTCATCAACCAAATAAAACATTGTCGTCGCCATGTGATTGAGAGAAAGTTCACCAAACAATCCATCTAGCTCTCGCAACTCAATCAGTACATCGAGCAGTTTGCGCTGATTCTGGTTCAGCTGCCAAACCTTTTTCCGCTCTTCACTGGCAAATGACAGCATCCAAAGAGTTTCAGGRTCACTTATTGGTCTTTCACTGGCTTTAGCAAGGGCGTGGGATGGGCTAACGTGAGATTTCGCTACGCGCCGGAAGAATTCAAGTGCTTGGCTATGAAGTCTGATAGATGGTATCAAATCGACGAGTACTTCTCCTGAATTGATGTCTAATACAATAGTTGAGCCATCGCAATAGACGGTTAATGCGTTTACACCGTCTGGTAGAGTGTCCATGTCTTTTTGGATATTGGAATTCATGAGTACCAAAGTCTTCTGTATCGTGAGTTGAAGATTTGAACGTACCAAATTAGCAGATAGAAACCCCTCCTCTGTGATGCAGTCACTCCAGTTGAAATTCTGYTCAGAATCAATCGCAAGACGAACATAGCCACCCTCTTCAGCGTATTGAACAAAAACATTTTGATCAAGACCATCTAAAAACAAAGGAATTTCAAATTCAAACCAGTTGGACGTCAGCTCTGTTAGTTCACAGTATTTAGGGTTTCGCTGCAGTAGATCTGTAGTAGTGAATCTGTCGTTGACAAACTGCGCGTTTAATAAAACTTTAAAGGCCGCCGTGAATGCCAACCGTTTGTTTTCCATCGATTTTGATCGACYGCTCCGCACTTTTTTATCGTAAAAATGATCAAATTCGCGTGAGAATAGTTCTTCTGCTTTGATGCTCTGTAAATCGAGTTGCTCAAGAGATTTTGTTGAGCCGAGCATGTTGAGTTGTGTTAAAGAAATACATCGTTTGTTTGACAGCAAATTCGTTTCACTCTTCGATCTCTTACTGAGGCTGGGCTTTTCAAAAATGCAGCTGGTAGAAAGGGATTTTTGCTTAGACAATTTCGATGATTTTGATGTATTTYTTCTTGCACTGAAGCCCTTGTGAGACATCTTTTACGTATGCTATGCAGTGTGAATTATGCGTAAAATTTCGTTTTTTGGATCAAAACGATGAATGTCAATGACATCCACCTGCTAGACAGCTGACCGCGGCGTGTCACGTGATATTCACAATACTCAATRTTCAGTTCTATTCAATTTTTATTTCATTTCGCTGCTTTGCGCGTGCATTTGAAAGATGTAATACGCTAAAACAAATTCAGAAAACAAAACCTTTAAACGAAAACATACTATAGTCAAACTATGGCTGATTATATCTTTAAGAATTATTTTCACTAAAACATTTTTGATAATTTTCGAAAAATAGGTAGAATATTAATATATGAGATAAGAACAAATACATTCGATCCCTCATGGATTTATTGATTRATTGGTGGAAGACGCGACGTACGGGAGCCCTGTGCTTAATGACGTCATATTCTGGTCAGCGGTAGATCTTACGATATATAGGCGCATGACGTCAAGTGATTTTCGTTCGATGATCGGGTTTGTTTGTTGGAAGTGACGAGGAGGTTACAGAAAACACAAAGTAAAACCATGTCTACCCCAGCGAGAAGACGTCTAATGAGAGACTTTAAAAAGTAAGTCAGTCAACCTATCACTTGTCTTTGTATAAATCGACCATTAGTGAAATATTGAGATTTAAATACGTCCATGAACGTAAAATAGTTGACGTCCTTCCGTCTTTTCCTCGGTGCTTGTCGGACATTTTTTAAGCTTAAGTGCGTTTTTTGGTTGGTTTTTAGATTGCAAGACGATCCTCCTGACGGCGTTAGTGGTGCTCCTACTGAAAATAATATAATGCTTTGGAATGCTGTAATTTTTGGGTCAGTGTATAGAGTTTAAGCTCACTGTAAAAAACAAATGACGAAATCAATGGCCGACTTCTTAATTTTACTAACGTCATCGTATTTTCTTATTCTCAGACCCAATGATACTCCTTTTGAAGATGGTAAGATGTCAATATATACAGCTTCTCCATTGTTACTTTACTATTATTGGTTTTTCATCTGATTAAAAATATTGAAAGCTTACATTTTTACGTTTTATTTTAGGCACTTTCAAATTACAAATGGAATTTACAGAAGAATACCCCAATAAACCTCCATCAGTTCGCTTCATATCAAAAATGTTTCATCCAAATGGTAAATTTCTTATAGTTATTATTACTATTATTATTATTATTATTATTATTATTATTATTATTATAGTTAAACTCTAGATATAATGTATTTTTGTACTAAATTATACATAAGTTTTATGTTAAAACAATGATCATACTCAAGTAAGGTATTACATAATATTATTCTGATCTTTAGATAATTACATGTAGATTTTAAAGGGTAATTAATGGTAGTAACAGATTGGTTCATCTTGATTTTGAAAATGAAAATCAGAAGGAACAACCAATAGTGCAAGTTAAATGCAATTGATAATCTCACAGGATTATTGGAGGGGGGAGGGGTTAGATACAATGATGCAATTTATAAACCAAGAAATCGAATCCAAAGCTTCTAGCATTGAGTATGGGGGATTTTACTCTTCTTCCCAATTCACAAATAAAAGGAAAATGTGCCCCAATTAGCATAGTTTCACTTTCACCAGTTTTCTCGTTTGTTTTACAAAACAATAATATAACATTGAACAGAACTACAGGTTGACAAAATTTCCCTTTGGATGTATACCAAATTTTTCAATGATATCACCAAATTTAAAAGAAAAGAAATTGAAAGTAAAGTTGATAGGTTTTAGACACATTATTATTCAAAACTCCAAGCTTGTGTGTRTGTGTGTGCAACAAAACAAAACCTGGTTTTGGCAAAGCAAGCTTGGTTTTCATCAGTAAGAGTTTATTTTGATATACTCTTCAAGAAACTGTTTCTAAAACATTAAGCTAATGTGCTTTCTTTTTAGTTTACGCAGATGGCGGTATATGCTTAGATATATTACAAAACCGATGGAGTCCAACATATGATGTATCATCAATACTCACTTCTATACAGGTTTGTAATTACATAATTGTTATTGTTGTTGCTGACTTTAACACTTGTATATCACATTAATTGGTGGAATTAGAGGGCAAAAGTTTCAAGTCAATAAAAAGTAGAGTGCATCCTTTTTTTTGTCAAGTTAAACCATCAAGTATAGTGTACAAAATTATTTTATGTCAATGCCGAGGGTAGTTCTAGAAAATATCCGTACCATATGAYGGGCAACATCGATTTTCGACACCCCCTCTCCTTGGGAAATTCCGAAATTGGGTATCCCCCCTCCCCTTAGGAATTCCAAAATCGTGTTTTGCCCCCCTAGGAAATTAATTTCCCCCCTTGGAAATGAATGAGAATACATATTCTCTTCAAAACAAGCACTGTTAGAGTGATCAACGTAAGTCCTGGTTGAAGGTGTCGAAGGTCGTTTTCTATAAGACATAATATGTCTATAATTCCCCTCCCCCCTCCTTTGGATTTCCTAAATCGTTCAGCCCCCATCCCCTTTGGAATTCCYAAATCGATGACCCCCACTCCCCTCTGGATTTCAGAAATGCTGCCCGTCGTATGGTAWGGATATTTTCTGGAACTACCCAATGAAGTGGGAAATGATGTTCTCCTATCTTTGGCAAGATKAATTTTTTGATTGTCGAAAAAAAMAACATTACTTATTCCTCAGACTGGTCTTTCTCTAATTTATCCTCCATAGTTTTTAATAAACATCATCATCCTTGATAGAATTTATTATATATATATGCCATCTTTTATCAACGCAAAGATAACATAGTTTGTGAAAAGGACTATCTTTACTGTAAAATTGCAGATACTGTTAAAGCATTTTACCTAATCAATCCCTTCATAATAGATGTAGATTTAGTGGTGGCTTTTTTTTTCACAGTCTTTACTGGATGAACCAAACCCTAACAGTCCTGCAAACAGTCTGGCTGCCCAATTGTACCAGGAAAATAAAAGAGAATACGAGAAAAAAGTCATTGCCATYGTTGAAACAAGTTGGATGAATACTTAATAAGGCAATATCGTGGACAAGTTGACAAAGCATCTGTGGATGTGTTTTCAAAATATTGCTTGCCACCTAGTAAATATGTAGAATTCCTGCCATAGTTCGTTTATTTTTCAAATTATTATGAAGTTAAGATTTGTAATGGTGCACAATTATTATGTATATTGTTTTCTGCATATAGAAGAATCAAACAAATTGCAAACAATAAACACATGTAGTTATTTCCTTGAAAAGTCCTTTTTAACAATGAAATATTTTAGAATAATTATTCTCTGTACATGAAGTGTTGGCTGTTTAGAGTAGTTGTGATGACAGTAAAACATCCGTTGTCATCAGTTTAATTAAATGTAAATGTTTTGTTTATTTGTAAATAACATTTTCTTGATGTGGCATAAAATAAATATGTATTTGAATTACCCTGCCTGTGTATCATTGACAATTGTCAATAATGTCTCACTGTTTTAAACAAAAGAGTAGTTGAAAAGAGGCCATTATTGCTTACAGAAACTGGAATTTTGAGKACAACTGTAAAGTTTCAAAGAATGCCCAAGGTCAACAATCAAAAACACAATGCCCTCTATTCAACTACACTCTGTTTTTATCATTCAACAATAAAATTTGCTGAAGTGGGCTCCATGCACTRATACTGGAACCCATCTCAACACCAATGAKAGCAGAGAAAACTTTGTTGAATTAGAAATAATATTCTATAACTCTTTTTGCTTGAAAAAGTACACATATTGCTCAAAAGAGTGAACCCGCTACTACATGTCTTTGAGTACAAATATATGACCCAACAAAAGGTTCTTTAAAGTCTTCCTTTCTGTTATCTCAAAGGACATACTTGCTACATGTATGCCTCCAGAGACTAGACAATAATTAGTCAATCACATCTAGAGTGCTTGACATTCCCATGAAACGTCACGGATTACATGCTTATTGAGAAGTCCACTATTGATTTGTTTTGACTTCATGTGGTAACAGACTTTGATCAACATCCTCTCTGGGAATGGCATCAAATGGGGACATTGTATATCCATTCTGATATAAGAAAACCCTTTTGCATTGTTCATATACTAGATATGTTAGGACTATGCTGGGTACAATCTGAAAGTAAGAAAAAAAATCCAATTGTCAATACAGTGGCATTATGGAAATTGTGAAATTCATACATAAAAACAGGCCATCTTAGAAAGGTTGATAATGGATATATGGTATCTGTATGTAGTGATGCTCAAGGTCCAACAATGAGGAGCTGGCATGGATGTGTTATGAAGTATGCTGCACATCAGTCTCAGTTCATATSACAGTTGAATTTATCAAAGGACATTTTTCAAAAAAAAAACCTCTCAAAATGATTTCTACTCAGAAAAAAATTGTGGATGTCTAGAAATCTGATCCAACTTCCAGTTAAATTGCATGGTACGTCATGACAATCATGGATTGACTACATTACATACAAATAATGAATATATTTGCCATAGCCTCTGACAACCTATTCAAGAGCTCTTTGCAAATTACTATGCGTGTGTATTCCATGGTTACCTTGATAAGATTCACTGAAAGCCCCCTCCACAATCCTTTAAAACCATTATGTTGAACTGTTTGATTAAAAACATCACACATTCCATTGTACTTGACTTGTACTCTTTGATCCCCTGTTTGGATGAACATGCTGCTAGCCTGATGAACAAAGAGAGACTAGTTTATCAATTGATCTCAAATGATTAGTATTATTTCCAGTCAATGCATGGGTCTAGGTCTGAATGCTTTTGATATTGCTGAAATAACTAAGAAATTAGTTGACTAATCTGACTTATAAATTTGTGAGGAATTAAACTGTAATTTGTCTTACCTGCATCTTTTTCCTGACTGTGTCCAATGGGTAAGACATTATCTACATTTTGATAGAGAGTTCCTATATTATTAATAACTGAAATATTTATAGAACAAAATGTTTCTGCACGGCTGTGTATAAAAGCCACTTGATCAGCCAAGACAAACTCTGYGTTATCARTGGATATTATAATTATGAGCAGTATACCTGTGCAAATGCTGCAGCCATACAGGCACTAGCAATCACTTGTAGTTCTGTACTATCCGTTGACAATGGCRAATACTCATCAAGCCAATGATATGTTAAGAATGACCCTCCAGCAAATGGAATGACACCTGTCTCAAAAATATAAGACTCAATATTGACACAAAATGAATATACTTTAGTTAAGAATTCCACAATTATATGATGTCTGCAGGGGACCATTACTTCATTTATGACATCTGCAATGGAGGTTAAGGCTGACAAATATATGATATAAAAACATGAAAAAAAATAATAATACAAGCATGAAAAGATGAAAAGAGAAAAACACTGCAGAAGTTCCCCTGGTGAAAAAGTTATAGACAAGATCCTGTAAGATCCTGAAGGAGCTTGAATAGGATCATGCAGGATCATGTATAGGATCCTGTAATAACCTGTAGAATCCTGACAAGATCCTGTGTAAGATCCTATTCAAGATCCTACAGGATCCTGTGTAAGATCCTATTTAAGATCYTGTCAGGATCTTGTCTAAGATTTGCACCAGGGTCAACTTGAACAGCAACAATGTTGAGACTGTTTGCATCTTGTATTTCAATGCCCTTGATTTATTAACTGGTCAATGAAATAATTCATAATTATAATTAAGTCATAGCCTGCATGCAGCCAAACATAAACATTTGGTTCGTCTGCAGGAATTAAGGCTAATTAGTCATATATCTTCCTTAATGACCAATTATTACCAATCACTGAAGGCACCAATCCTCTATACAAAGCCAGAAAACCTTCTTTTTGCCATACAGCTTTAAGAGTTCTTATTATACATGTACCACCATGATATTTGTAGGGTTGAATTATCAACCTTGTTCTGATCACATCACAGGGATAAACAAGAACCATTGCAATAATAGTACTTCCCAGCCCTGCAACAACTGAACTCATGCTTGAAAAGTGTCCTTCATTTTCAAAAKACATCTGAAAACATAAGTAATCTCACAGTAAATATTAAAGACTTAAGCGAGAATAAGACTCCACTCAAAGCTTGAGCKTGCTCTCACCATCAAAGAGTTGAAAGTTAGAAACTGCAAACTGCTGTATGGAAATAGTCTAAAACATGTTATGTAATTCCCCTTCCAAAATGCTTTAATTCCCTCAGTTCTGTAGACATTGGCAAACGTTTTAGCAAGGCCATTCCAAGTTTGCTCAGTGCCAACTTGAGCAAGAACCTTGACAACTTCCAACGGTGAYGTTAGAGTTCGGCTTGCAATCGCTGCTGCTCCTCCACAAGCAGAGCTTTGAACCCATGTCATTCGTTCATCAAGCCTAGAACTGTACATAGCTGATCCTTGAACGCATTATTACAGTACGAGATGTTAACATCTTCGTTTTTCTAGCTAACTTGTTGTCCATTCAACGCTTTCCATTKATTCAGGACATTGCTCATTTATTGAGTGCCCAGACCGCCAGTAAACCAGTAAAATTGGGCTTCCTGTSCCTAAAATTCAGATGACCGTGAAGAATCATCAGCAGGAATGTATGAGATTGAGCAAGTAGTACTACAAAGCCGTCCAGGGAAAACCAATCCTCCATCGGAGGAAAATTTTGCATATGCAAAAGCACCACCAATCGAATGCAAGGATGGAGAGATAATTGCCAAAACATTATATCTCTCAGTAGATCCTTACATGAGRCTCTGCCTGAATGATCCTACKGGAGTCGCGTCGGTATCGCCTTGGCCKCTAAACAAAGTAGTTCAGGGACTAGGCGGGGTCGGTGTTGTTGTTGAAAGCAAGCTGGAGGGCTTTGTTAAAGGAGACGTGATTCAGCCAGTTCTTAATGGCACAGTGTGGCCATGGAAGAACTATGCCGTATTTTCTTCGGTCACGCAAGTTCAAAAGGTATTTTTAAAAAGATGAAAGAGGTGATCTCTCTGAAAACAAATCTTTATTAGCTTATATARATTTCATTGTACAAATTGCAAATAATGAAAACACAATTATTCAGGATTTACAATTATTCGTGCTTTACAGCATGCGTAGGCTATCCGTGCTCATACCTTCACGCTTCATACATGAACGGACAAGAATTATTTTTCACTTTGACTTTTCACTTTATTTATACACATTTGTATATTTTGCGTAATTTCTTACGATAATGTATTTACACTTTTTTTACAAATAGAAAAAGATGCAAATGGAAAAGAAGTAATGAGATGTGTTTTGAACATAGAGTGCACATTATGAAAATTTTTACAAAGTCACTGGAAAAATACCGTATTTACTCGAATAGACGCCGCGGCGTTTATTTCATTTTTCACGATCCAGGTGCGGCGTTTTTTCGAGGCCGGCGTCTATTCGGGGACGGCGTTTATTAAAAAAGACACTGTATTCAGTACTACACATACCGTACTTTATATTGTATCTATTTTGAGAGCTATTTTTAGCAATCAAGCATTTGTCACGCAAAGGCCGAGTATGTGACATTGTTTAGCGATCAGTTTCTTGCGAAAAATGAAATATTTTCAAAAACCAATTACACAGCGATTGTTATCACCATAATATACAAAATATGAATAGATTTGATTTTCCGAGCCTTGCCAAAAATTTTCAATTTTGTCTGTTTTTTTTCGCGGCTCTATCTTAACTGCTTGTTCATCATGTATACAAAATTCTCACTATGATATGTTATATCAACTTTTTAATCTCAACTAAAATTTGCATCCTGTAACCCTATAAATATACCCTGCTAATGCACAGCCTTTCGTGACCAGGTTGAGAATACATTCTTGAGAGAACATCCATCTCTATTGCTGGGTTTGTGTGGAATAACTGGTTTAACAGCCCTAGTTGGYCTTGAAGAAAAAGGTCACATCGTACCTGGAAAGAACCAGACAGTGTTTGTGAGTGGAGCTGCTGGTGCCTGTGGTAGTGCTGCTGGTCAGGTATGATAATAGTCAATTTCGGCTTATGAGAGGTGTCTGCTTATGAGAGGTGTCTGCTTATGAGAGGTGTCTGCTTATG